TCTTTTCTATATTTTTTACACTTCTACATTAATTAAAAAAATATTAAAGACTTTACTTAAATAACAGCCGTAAGATAAATGAGAGTAAATCTGTACCGTTGGATTCTATTTCATTGATATTATTAGAACTTTTTTGGACGAAAAAAACCCTTTCTCTATTCCAATATTTTCCAATTTTACCATTTGATCAAATTAGGTAATCGAAAATATACTTAAAAGAAAAATGCGTTTTTATATTTTGGATGTGACAATATGGTATGTATATACTTATTTAGTATTATGTTTTTTCATTTGATTATTTATTGGTTTAAGATATATTTTCCTTAACGGGTAACGAGTCGGGTCATATTACCTGTTAATATTATCAGGTCGATTTCGGGTAGGGTCATTTTACCCGTTTATTTTAACGGGTGTTACACGACACGACCCGTTAAGATATCGGGTATGACACAAAAACGACACGAACACAGAAAACACGACACGAATGCCAAGTCTACTCGAGGGTAATCTTATCTTTTTCATCCAAAAATCCATGTGTCACCTCCATATTTTTCTTGATTTTTCTTGCTCCACAAATGCCTCCACACCTGTTGGGCTGCTCGCAGGAAAGGGCAACAGGTGTAGAGATCTTCTTGCTTTAGGAAACATAGGATTGTTTCCTATTTTGATGTAGATTCCCTCTTTAATTGGAAATTAGATCCTTCTAGGAAAGGGAAATAAATCACTTCTAAAGTCTATTTAAGTCTACCTTAAGTAGATGATTAAATCAACTTTAGAAAGCAATTTATTCTACCCTACAAGAGAGAGAAAGCTAGAGGGTATTTGTTCCCCCTCCCCTAGCAATCTTTTACACTTGCTTGTGCAAAGGACCGTCTTTCGTTGCTTTCTTCGTCTTCTCCGCGCCACACTAAGGTAAGAAAAATTTAATTTTCCTTGTCTTCTAATTGGATAGTTGTCGCGGGGTAGGCCAGTAATAGCCTGCGTTAAGAGCCCTCTGCGCTAAGGATCGGCCTCCGGAGTGATTTCCACAAACGCCTTCATAGATTAAGCTTTGAACCTTTAGGTTGTTGAAAGGCGTTAAGTAGTGGAGATATGGTCCAGTGTAGGATGTCGTTCCACATGTAGTAGCGTGCTGCCTTTATTTGGAGCTTTCTAGACTCCAACCTTTCCGTAGGGAGTGTGCCATTGACTAAGTAGTCTATAATAGAACTTTGTCAGTTTTGAGTTGTACTAACCTATGACACTTTGATTGCCAGCTCCACCTCTATGCTTAGCTTGTCTAGATATTCCACCAAGATATAGCATTTGAGTTAGTGGTTGAGGGCAGAGCCTAGGCCAGCTAGAGCATCCGGTTGGGCGTTGTCTGCCAGCAAAACTTGAGTAAAGGTGTAAGTCTAAAATGCCTAAAGTTACTTGCATACTTTCTCTATGTATTGCATTATCCTTGGATGTTTTTCCGTGTACTCCCCAGTAGTCTGGCTGGTGATTAGCTGAGAATCAGAATGAATTGCAAGCTTTTTCACTGCCAAGTCTTTTGCCATTCGGAGGCCTACTAGTAAGGCTTCGTACTCTGCTTTGTTGTTGGATGCCTTGAAGCCTAGAGTAATCGCATGCTCAAGCATCGAATCATCTGGGGTGACAAGGACTATGCCTGCTTCCGAGCCTTTATAGTTGGATGCGTTGTCGACATGCAAATGCTAAAAGTCTCCATCGGGCGAAGCAGGCGTGGCTAGGGCATCATTGATTACCTTTGGAGCGTCGTTGGGTCTCTCTGTTGCATCGCCTAGGCTAGGCATGAAGGCGTGGTAAGGAGCCATAGAGCTAACGTACCAAGAGATGCTCAACTGCTGGTATCGGGCAGCTTTAGAGCTAAATTATAGAGCAAGGGTCGGTTGGGGCTATGTGACGTGCAGCAGGTGGTGGTGCTCAACTTGCCAGTACATGTTGCTCCTATGTAGAATCTTATGGGGCGACGAGGACAAAACTTGCTTCCTAGTGTCCTTCTAGAGTTCGTCTGCCCTTGGCGTGCCTTTTGAGCCGAGTTGTTACGTTCGTAAAAAAACTTTGCATCGCCAATGTTTGCGCCTTTATCGTCGCACGTCTAGTTGGGCCCCCAGCTCTTTTCGTATGAGGGTAGAGCTTATTGCTGCTTCAGATGCGACTGCTCATCCAATCAAACCTTGAATCTTCTTCAGAGTAGTGGGGGACTTCATATTCAAGATCGTTTAGATTTGCCTTGAATGTGCATCGACGAACCTCATCCCAAAGTGCATGTTTCTCTGCCAGAGTGAAAGAGTCTGCCAGAGTTATATCTTCTTTCATGATCAATTCTCCGAACAGTAGGTGGTCTACTGAGAGTCCTTTTTGGAATGCTGCTCTAGCTATCGAGTCGTTGCATTCAACTATCTTTTCCTTCTCTGCTTTGAACCTCTTCACATAGTCACGAAGCGACTCATTTGGGTTATTCTTGACGTTGAACAAGTGGTAGGACTTTTTCTTAATGGAGTAATAGGATGAATATTCTTTGGTGAAAACCAAAGAAAATTCATCGAAACTCTAGATGGATTGTGGTGCAGGGTGTAGAACCAATCATGCGTCTTGCCTTGTAGAGTGGTGGCGAATATCTTGCACATGAGATCGTCATTGTTTCAATAGAGGATCATTACGCTTCGGTAATGCTTTAGGTGTCCCTTCAGGTCTCAATCCCATTTGAAGGATGTGAAAGGTGGCCTGTTGAACTTGCATAGAGGCTCTGCCTGCTCAATATTATCCGTGAAGGGTGAGCTACTTATGTTGGTCATGTCCCATCGTAATGCCTCGTTAGTGACCTTGTTACGTTGGAAATAGTGCAATTGCTCGGTCATGAGCCTTTCTACTTCTTCCTGAATTTGCCTTTGTTGAGGTAACGAATCTCTCAGCTGCCCCAGTCGTTACCTACTGGTCTAGGCTGCTCTTCTATGTGCTTGGCTCGTCTATGCCTCAGCTACGGTGCATGTGGTTCGTTCCTAACAAGCGAGGGAATTCTTCGTAAGCTGCTGGTTGAGCTTGAGCATGACTAAGTGACTGCTTCTCTCCGTCCTTCGTGCTGCCTACTCCAATGTGAGGTAGAGAATGCTCCTTATGGGCCTAGCCGCAAATGAACACTTCGTTTGAAAGGATGCTCATGTTGACTATCGGAGTGTGACCCCAACCATGAATGTATGCTCGTCCGTGGGCCTAGTCGAGAGCACACACTCCTTCGTGTGCTAAGACTGGAGTATACACTATCTCAGGGGCCTAATCAAGAGTGTACACTGGCCGAACGCTCGATTCTTGGCTGGTCGAGTGACTGCTTACCGGGACACTGTTGGAAAGGTTCTTCGTCTGCCCTTGTCCTACTTCGGAACACCTCGTTTAGAGCACGTTGCATCTCGGTGAGCTGCAAAAGCTAATTCACCAAGGTCATCTGTTGTGCGAGGGCGCTCGTCAATGACTTTTCGAGACAAGTGTTATTCTCCATTTGGGTTGGAAGAGCTTGGAATGAATGTGTCTCCTTGAGCAATGGAAGTGTGGTAGACTCCAGGCGCGAGATTTGAGTTAGGAAATGTTAAATTCACGAAGAAATGTGGTGAAAATGCCCCTGGTTCAATCGTAGGCCCAGAAATTTGAAGCCAGGATGGTTGAACTAATCTTAGACCGATTTGGGCTGCTTGGAAGGCCACGGGAACAGGCTGGGCCGCGGGAAAAGACTAGACCGCGAGAGCAGACTGGGCCACGGGAGTGGGCTGCTCGGCATGTGGCGCACGTGGGTGTGAGGCTAAGGATCGGCTTGGCAACGCGTTGGGTTCGCGTCGGGCTTAAGTGGCTCAGGCAATCTCGCCTTGGGCTTGAGCCCATGTGGGCTTGAATGGCACGACTTGAGTTGTGCTTGTGGCGCCGTAGGTCTTACCGAGGGTGGTTGTCATGGTGGCCACATTGGTGGTTGCCACCACTCATCGTTGTGCTGAGCCTCATAGATTATCACGGTCCTAATCCTTGAACGTTGGAATTTCCGTTTGTTGAGGTTTCCGAATCTCTTGCCATTGTACTTTTCTTTTACGTCTTATCAAAGAATTTTTAAAAATAAAAATTCCAAGAATAAAAACGTACGAAAAATCTACAAGTGAACAAGAAAACGAAGAACCTTGAATGCGAGTCTTCTACAAGTGTTTGATCAAGACTCTCAATGAAAGCATCAATTTATGGATGCAAATTTCTTCCTTCTTGTTCTTTGACGAAAATGCACATGCAAAAACAATTAACACCTTAGGTCAAGGCCATGAGCCTCACTCGCCCGCGATGAATAGCGGGAGCTTTGGCCGAAGAACTTCTAAATTTAGAATTTTGAGGGAAAAGTGTTTAAAGAATTTAGAGAATTTTGCAGGGGGATTCCACTTAGGTTTTTGGAGAAATGAAGTGGTAATTATAGGGGTGTGGCCGACCCCCTTTGGAGAGGTGAGAACCTGCCACATTTGGTGGTTTTTGGGTGTAATTGCAAGATATTATGTCACCATAATATCTTGCAATCAATTAGAAAATTAATTAGAAAATTAATTAATTAATTAATTAGGAAATCAATTAATTAATTTAGGTAATTAATCCTATTTTGAATGAATATTTGGAGGTTACTCTATGAGGAGGATTTGATGAGGATGGATGAAATAGGTTTTGAATAAATACCTATTTTGATCTATTTAGACCTTGATTGAGTGATGATTGTCCGCTGCTCATGCGTAGGGGTTCCGATGTGTCTCAAGAGTAATCTTATTTTTTTCACCCAAAAATTCACGTGTTATCTCCATATTTTCTTGATTATTTTTTGCTCCACATAAATCACCCTCTTTCTTTCGCTCTCTAAGATTGTGATGGTGATCGTGAGGGCATGTGGGTGTACTGTCGAATGTTGATTTGTCATGCCCTCTAAAACACAAAAAAGTCCAAAGGTGACCCTCCTACTACCATAAAAAATTAAAGGCAGTTGAATCCTTTTCTAAATTTCTAGTCCATTTGACAAATCCATACAAACCTTGAGAAAATAATGAACCCAACGCTCCCACATCAACTTTATCTTTCCACTTTTTGTCAAAATCTTACTGACTACATACCTATTTTCAATCCTTCTCTGCTGATTGGTGTTGTATGTATTTATTTATGCAGTTCAGTGCATATATAATTAACGGAGGGCCTTACATGTTTCTGGAAACCAAACATATGATTTGAAGTACCAAGGAAGACAATGGATACTCAAGCAGAGAAGGTGTATGTTGCCGTAGGGAATGATATAGAAGATGGATTTAAGACCTTGGAGTGGACCCTAAAGAAGTGGAATTCCAAGCCAATTTCCATTGTCATTCTCCATGTAACTCACAACATTTCTCAGGAGTTTGTGTACACCCCATGTAAGTTGCATAATTGGATTTCAATTTCCTTGATTAATTTCAGTATTTTTTGTACGAGCGAGAAATTGGCGCAGGGGGAATCAAACTGGGGACTTTGGATAAATGGTGTGAATGCTCTTAACCAATTGACCTACAAACCTACAAGGCCCTTATCATTTTCCCAAGGTTTAGTTTGATAGGAATTTCTATTTAATTTGCTTTTATTTTTCATTTTGGTTCAGTTGGGAAGCTCCCTGCAAGTTCTGTGAGTGATGAGAAATTGAAAGTTTTTATTAAGTATGAGCAGGAAAAGATTGACGAGTTACTGTCCAAGTACATATCATTCTGTGGCCAGGTTTTTGCAATTGCTTGATTTTTTCCTTTGATTCCTGCTAAAACGGGATTAATTATATTGTCCTAATTACCATCACAGGTTGTTTCTTATATTTTCCAGAACTTTATTTGATGTTCATAGGTGAAGGCTGAATTGCTGAGAGTAGAAAAATGTGAGCAACGAATTCATACAGTCGTCACAGAGTTGATCCTTAGACACAAAATAACCAAACTGGTTATTGGATTTCCATTCCTGAAGAGTTCATCTTGGTCCGCTTCTTCATTTTATTGTATTCTTTTTCATTGTCATTGATTAATTGTGCTTAACTTTTCTCTCTTTGCCATGTAGGAGAATGAAGAGTGCGGTAAGTGGATCATTTTATGTTCATAATCACAAGCCCGATTTCTGCGAATTATTCGTAATTTGTGGGGGAAGACGGGTTTTCCTCAGAGGGGAGAACAGTAAAGGAGTCATAGAGGATGATCAAGGTGTGACGGTTGCAAAAATCAGAGAAAAATCCAGTTTCAAAGCTTGGCTAGCAAAAATGTTCAATGAAAATCCAGCATATTCCCTTGATACAATTTCTCATCCCTCTCTCGGATTTTCAACAAATCCCTACTCCACAAGCTCACAGAACCAACGGGGAAATTGTGTCCACGAACTTGAAAACTATTTCCAGCATTTGTTGTCTTTGAAAATGGATGAAGGACTGCACAACAATCCAAAGGAGTTGGCTACGCCCGAACATGCGGACTCTGATATGGTAAGTATAAAAATGAGTGCAACTTTGCTCGCCTTCATTGATTGTCATTAGATTAGTATGATTTAATTAATTCAAGACATAAATCTGGAAATTTAAACTAATTTAACGACAATCAATAAAAAAGTGATTATCACCCTTACTTTTAGGTGGTGAGCAAATTTGTTCCCTTATAAAAAAAAAATTATTTAATGCTACCAAAACTATCTTTCTTGGTCTAATTTTGAAGTAGGTAAAGAATGATGAAGCTATTCAACGGCTCCACTAAGCTCTCTTTTGTACCAAATACCATCATTTTGTTTCCTTGCTTAAATTTCTTTTTGACCTTAGAAACATATGATTGTGATGATTATACTCCAAACCTTCTAACGCGTAATGAGTTATTGTTTTTATCCACAAATCACGTGTAATACATATCTTACATGTAATACCAGTTATTTTACCATTTAGTATTACGGTTTGGTGATATTCCTCTTCACTTGGAAGTAAGAGGTCTTAGGTTCGAATCTCGTGGATAGCGAATTCAATACCAAATTAGGTTGCACATTATGTGGTTTAGCCGAACTCCCCATTCCCCTAATGTAAAAATATCGATGTACTTATTTTATTTTACAAACAAATCACATTATGACACATGCAAAACTAATTCATTAAAATTACAAAAGAATAGTTTGTGAACATGTCAAATTTTAATTTGCATACATAAAGAAATAACTTATAGCATGTCAAGTTGTAATTTGTGTGGTACTAAGTATAATTTGCAGTAGAGCCTCCTTGTCAAGTACAGTTCATGCCTATCCTGTCCATGTGTTTAGACTTTTGCTTCCCCAAAATTCAAATCGGACCAACCCCTTGTATTTTAAATTATAGGAGAACCCAAATTAAGTATTCTATATGAAATTCCTTTGATCTTAACGTATAGTAACAGTTCATGTTAAACTGTTCTATTTCTAATATCTAAAAGAAAAATGCCACAACTTGGCTCGTATCAGATTGCTGCAGAAGATATAGAGTCTAGGAAGAAAACTTTAAAGGAAGCTCAAGAGATGATCAAGTTGAAAAGAAAGGAAGCCAAGGCCAATCTTGAAAGAAGCACTAAAGCACAACGGGCAATTTCTTTATGCAATCGTCGGGTAATACACATGATATAAAACAAATCAATTTTGTTCTTCTTTTTTTGTGAACCTGTAATGAATTTTCATGTTTTATAGGCTGAACAACTTGAGGCAAAGATAAATGAAGAGGCGACGAAGCGAGAAGAGTTGAAGAAAGCATTAGACTCCGAAAAGGAACAACTTCATGAAGTTATATTGGATACTGAAGAAAGCAAGAATAGGCTAAGTTCACTATTGGAGCTCCAGTTTGAACTCTCAAACAAACTTCAAATATCTACATTTGCAAAATCAAACAGTGAGGCCCAACTAGAAAAGGCGGTAAGTACCCGAGCGGAGATGGTTAGAGAGATTGAGGAACTACGGCAGCAGAGAGATGTTCTTCATCGTAGAATCGAGTTTTGCAAAGAAAAGGATGCAATTGGAATGGTCGCAAGGCTTAGCGACACGAGCTGTGGTTTCAAGGAGTACACAGCCGAGGAGATCAGATTGGCAACAAATGATTTTTCAGAGCGTTTGAGAATTAAACCAGGAGGAGATTGGACTAGTATATATAGAGGGCGCATCAACCATGCCACAGTTGCAATCAAAATGCTCAACTCTGGTAATGAACTCTCTAAGCAAGATTTTCAAGCCAAGGTAAACCCTATACAAGAAAATGTTCATGTTCTATTATGTTGTATTGTGAGGAATGTGTTGTTCCAATTCATAATCCGATAATATAACATATTTGACTGTTTACAGTGAGAACATTACACATTTCCTAAAATATATGCCCCTACAACCGAAGTAATTGATTGATTGGACACCGCATATCAGTTTTGAGGTTGTTTCAAATTGACTGAAAAACGTTGATGATTTGCATATGTAGGTGACAGTCCTTGGCCACATTCGGCATCCAAACTTGATCACAATGATTGGGTTCTGCACTGAGCTAAGGTGCATTGTGTTCGCATACATGCACAATGGTAGCTTGAGAGATATATTCTTGAGGGACATATTGTTCTCCTCCCACCTAAGCTCGAAGACAAGAAAAAGAACCATAGGATGGCACGACCGCATACGTATTGCATCCGAAATCTGTTCGGGCTTGGGCTTTCTGCACATGGCAAAGCCAAAACCGATTGTTCACGGACGGCTTTCCTTGTCCAACATCCTTTTGGACCGCAATCTCGTAACAAAAATCAGCGGTTATGGCCTATTACTTAGCCATGATGAACAAAGTGTTCGATCCGACATTCGTGCTTTCGGAGTTTTGATGATGCATCTTTTAACTGGAAGGAACTGGTCGGGGCTAGGTCAGGCAATGAACATGGACCAAGCAGCTGTTATCCGAGATTTAGATGACTTGGCTGGACAGTGGCCATTGGATCTAGCAGAGAAACTAGCAGGTTTAGCATTGACGTGCTTGACAAGTAACCGCAGGCCTAGTAGAGATTTGAACCTGGCAACATTGACGGAAGAGCTTCATGAGTTGAAGAAAAGAGCTGATGATTTAGTGGCAAGTGAGCGGGTGAAGGAAGAAGATGTAAAAGCGAAAGACACGCCTGATGTACCTAGTTTTTTCCTGTGCCCCATTTTTCAGGTTTGTTGTCCTTTCAACTCACATAACAGTGTTTCGTTTGTTTTACTGCTAATCATACAAGAAAATACATAATTTACTAACAGAGTGCGCTTAACATTGCAGGAAGTGATGAAGAATCCACATGCGGCAGCGGATGGGTTTTCATATGAACTCGACGCCATAGAGGAATGGCTAAGAATGGGGCATGATACATCGCCCATGACAAACTTAAGGCTCAAGCACACATTTCTTACCCCTAATCACACCCTCCGTTCCCTCATCCAGGACTGGCATAATAAGAGATTACTTCCACCCCCATAACATGTATATACTGGATCAGATTGATTTAATTTCCGTAGCAATCAAGAAAAGAGAACTGTCATTTCCGCCCAAGGAACAATTAATCATGCATGCTGATAATCAATCCCAAGTTTCTAATTACAGTTGTATGTCTGCCGTCTCCCTGGTGACACTATAGATATCCAACACCAAGTTAAATATAATATGCATCTCACTCCCGGAAAATCTATATTTTCAAGTCACAGGACCAAGTCTGCTGCATGTCAACGACTCTAAAACTAGGCAACTGTAAGTCCATTACATCGTTTACAACTTCTTTTTGCTTCTTTTGCCACCCTCCTATATGCATTCCCACTTTTTGAGACCATCGGCTATCGAACTTCGAAGCCAATCAGATATAGGTGCACTATAATCTACTGTACAAGGATCCCTCAAATCGTTGCAGCTTGCAAAATGTGTCTTGTTTGAGCAGTAGATCTTATCCTTCCGTTCTGTCAATGTCTTTTGTCCAAGGAAAAAACACTCTTGGTTCTTCATATTCTTTTACATTATGATGAACTGCAATGGAAAATCAACTTTTGGATAGTGCACAGGTTAGTCCTGAATATTGGCGGATTGCTTTACGGCTTGCTTCACCGTTGAACTCGTCGATCTGAGGGAAGTAATGGCATGATCTGCATGAATCGAGTTCAAACTCTGGGTTGAATGACTGCAGTGTCACTATCTTTTCTTTAACATCCTCCACCTCATCTTGTTAAGACAAGGTCTTGTAACGAGGTCATTTGTTGGAATGATGAGGTTAGTCCAAGACCTAGTGGGCCGTAAAACTAAGTGGGATGTTGCTAATATAGGAATCACACTCCTACGTATTAGGTCCGAAAATTTGAATAATTTTTCCACTAACGCAAGAGTCGGTTAATAAATTTCTATTTAGGAAGAATAATTGTATTATAAAGTTACAGATCACACAGCTAAATTTGTAGCCCTTACTAAACTTTCCCAGTCGTTTGCAGAATCAATTGAATTGATTGCATACTATTATCTAACCTCGTAATTTTAAAACATTTCCAATTTGGTGTAGGCAGCTAATTGCTATGTGTATATGGTTATTTTTCTTCACTCGAGCCGTATCCAAAATCTACCAAGTGCCCTTGAATTTTTATTCTACTCGGAGCTCGTACGTGTGGTCTGCTAAAATATCACCCACCTAGACGTTTCGCCTGGCAAAAATATCTGGAAGCTTTCTTGGCAAGGAATAATCTTCAAGCGAGGATGGATCCGTCGAAATGTCTTCTGGACGTGACCATAAATAAACCCCTCGTTCTTGCCGGCTGCCTGGGACAGTGTTTTCCAATACAAATGCTACCAGAAACGTCACCACCATGTTCAAAGACATAAGTCCATTCATAGCAAAATCAAGCTGTCAGACATTTAAACAGTGAATCAGCTCGTATCTAACTCAAAGGACATAAACAGAATTTGAAACTGTTCAAAGAATAGACTCGGACAATAAGTTTCTTTACTTGTTCTAAAATGGACCCTGGACACGTCATATTATGATCATCTTTACCTGCCTAGCAAAAAAATTATGGGCTTTTTACACATAAGCCGCTGATAACATCACAATTTGGAGAAAAACACTTCAAACCCAATGTTTTAGAGAAAAACCCAACTTATTTTGCAACACCAAAGGATTTTTCACAAGTAAGAATCAATTAGAGTATGACAAATGGATAGATGATGGTTTTTTCCTCCAACTGAGCGCTTGTCGTGTTTTTTTCTATAACATATAGTTGTGGGGATCTTTTCTCTTATTTACTACAAACTTAATACCTAAAAATGATTTCAACCATTTTCAAAAACCAGGTCATCAGAATAAGTGGTCTTGTAACTAACTAGAATCTGAACTAAGCTGGACAGTCCATGACAATCAAGATAATCAGCAGGAAAATTTATATAAATGATATCTCAAAACTAGCATGTTTCAGCGGTTCATCACTATTTTCATAGAAACTTCTCTATTTATTTTTCTTTCTTTGTTTGTCTTTTAATTTTTAGGGAGGGGTGGTAAAGCTCTGATATTTCATGTGTTTGTAAACTTGGAACCATAAAGGAAGCAAAGATAAAATAGCTTTCTTACTTGTTTAATGTTGGTGTGGACAGGTCCATTAGATGCTGCAGCATAGGGAACAAAATAGCTAGGCAGAATGAGGCTGGTTTCGGGTTGGTATTGTTGAAAATATGCTGGGATAGAGAAACCAAGGAATAAGGAAACACCAACAATCATTATGTTTCTTAAACTTGCTGCTCGACTATACTGCAAAGTTGAGAGACCCAGTGCCACCACAAGGGCCCACGTGAAGCAGAGTACGGAAGCAGCCAAGGATAGTGGTATAGAGGCAAGAATGGCACCCACTTTTCCTACAGCATGAGTGAAAGCAATACATGTTATTCAGAAGAAGAAAAGAAGTTCTAAAATATCCACCAAGAATTGCCAGCAAGCTAACTATATCTGTCAACAAGGGCAACCAAATGGCATGCGAACTGGTATTCAAAAATTGGGATCTCATATAATATGTTTACATGCACTAAATTGTCAAATATGATACAATATGTATCCAGTACATATCATAATTTAACACTTATTACTTTGTGCTTCACTTTACCTATAAATGAGAAGAAGATTAGGAGAACTGCTCCAAGTTCCACGGCCCTGCGACTTGCTACCTTTGTTATGTCAACCGTATGCATATTTTCTGTCAATGTTGTTGACCCAGTACCTGAACCCCAAACTCCAGCTAATATACTGCAAAAACCCTCCAGTGCAATTCCTCTGCTGACAATTCCTGGGGTTGGAGGCTTCAAATTAATTCGCACAGATGTAGTGTGGTATGTTCCAACCTAAACAAGTTATTGTACCATATGCATCAGTGTCATGGTGGTATTTCAAAAAATTTTCTTATATACCATCCTAAACATACAGATCTAAAGTTTCTTTAGCATTAACAAGACAGGGATTGGCCTTGGTCAAGTACAAAGCCTTCACCATAGCACAAATTCATAGCATTCTTCAAGGGCATTTTACTAATCCCCTACTCAGAGACGGGAAATTTTGGGAGTTTATATGCTTGCCTTACCAATGGCCTGACATAAGCAGCAGTGGTGTGTGCACAAACACAAGCATGTGACATCATATTTAAAACTGATTTTCAGCTGCATTTGAGTTACAAGCTACCCACCGAATCAACTGATGCAACAAGCGACACAAAGATCAGGATAATAGAAGTCCTGAAATGGAAGATAGGAATACCCCACTGTAAAGGGTAGGGAATCCGAACCCATGCAGCAGTTCTCAATGCATTCGAAACATCGGTCCTGCAATGTCTCATTGTATATGCATGCTTTCTGCAAGCATCTATTAAGATATTTGAACTAGGTACATCAGCACTGCAGCCCTTGTAATCATATGCTCCACCGGCTGTCAAAAAGAATGCATAAGTCCAGATGATCATAACACTCAATGGAACCTGCAATGAGAAAATGTTTGCAAGATCAATTAAGTCACAATCTCGGCTTGTACCAAAAAAAGTTACAAAAACATTGTAAGTGATACCGACAACTAGACAGAAGGGAGCAGAGTGAATTATCATGTTATTCTTTCTTCTTTTTTAACTATCAAATGAAAAACTGTAAATTGTTTGGCCTTCTTGTTCATGGGCAGGGTTTTAGGAGAGGCTTCAGATTGGTGGTTTGGCTTGGGTAGGTTTTTAGTCCTACAATTTGTCCAATGCATCTCTTATTAAGAATTTGGCACGTCAGACAGTCATGGGCAAAACAGTCGTGTCCAACAAAGTCCATAACTGATGACCATAATGATATACAACAAAATTACCCAGCCAGGATTTGGAAAACAGATACAGCAATAGAGCTTAGATGTCAATTAAAGTACATATTCGAACCTGGGAGTAAGAACTTGGATACTTTTAATCTTGTCCCAAAATGGGCAAAGCTTAGATAGCATTAGAGGCCTCCCCTAGAATGATGTTGGGAATTCAAGTTTCCACCATGGCACAATACGTGGACCATATGAGCTCTTTTGCCCATCAAAAGAGCAGGTAAATTATAGGATAGGGTTCAGTCACACATAGCAAACACTGAAATCTTCAAGCTCAAAAGACTTCAAAGAACAATATCTAATTTAATAAATAAATACGGTTTCACTAAAATAACACGTTTGTAAGGAAATTAGCATTTGTTAACACTTACCGCATAAATCTGAAAAAAGCGATTCCCAAAGATGGATACCCCTCGAAGGTACTATAATTGAAGCAAAAAAGTAAAGGAATTAGCATTTGTTAGCACTTACCAAAAGCATTTAAGACAGTCGATGAGGTATAGAACTACAGGCTTCATAGGCATATGTAGTACCAAACATACTCACCAGGGTGAATGTGAGAACCAAAAGTATCAGTGGAACACTGATTTCCACACAACTACCAGCTTGAGGAAAGCCATAGCTAAAAAACGCTAAACCTACTGCGGCAACTGTTGGTGCAACGACAATGGGATTTATCAATCTGAAAGGAGTTATCATACATATCAGAAAGGGAAATTGCATAACTTAATGCACTGGGCCTCCTGAAACAAACTATATATGCAACCACGATTTGATTTCTCAATACTACGGCTATATTCTATCCAATTATCTTTGCTACGTCCCCATGACATGATTAAACAAGCAAAATATGCAAAAATAATATGTCTCCTAAGTTGTTTTACACTGTCAATTGTCATAAATAAAGAAAATGAAAGATAGATAATCCAGTAGGATTAGGAGCAGACCCAATGTATCCAAGAAACACATTTTCATTCCAGAGAATATATATTATTTGTCTTTTCAACAAGCACTGAAATATTGGCAGAACGAAAATTTTACAAGAAACCGCTTGGATTACCTCAGCAGAAAGGACATTAAACCACTAAATCCCAGGAGGCTTTGAAATATCGAACCAACAATGACAGCTCCTTGCAGTTCTCTCATTATATGCCTAAATTTCTGCAACAAAATTAATGAACAATAAAACTATGAGGTCCCTGTTACTTCTAACATGAAAATAAAGACAGTCAACTTCGTTTATGAAGGGTATAA